GCTAACAGGAACCAGGTAGTTCCTCCTCCATTGGCTTGTCTGGGCCCCGCCCTCTGCCCAACAGCGTGGGGACAAGAGGAGCCAGAGTTGGGAGCGGGAGCCCTGGGGGGGACAGGGGCTCCCTCCACTTTCCACCCAGGGGTCACCTTCTGGGCATCCAGGCCCCCCCCCACCCCGGTCATTGAGACCCACAACCAGACCAGCCTGCTGTCTGAGACCTCCAGATTTCTTGCTTTCCCCACCCCGGGAGGCTGGCTCAGCCCAGAGAAGGCCACCCTGAGCCACTGAGGCCCCAGCAGCACCCAACCCCTGGGACCAGGCTGCTCGGGCCTGCTGGGCTCCCCAGGGCTAGGCTGGTACCTGATGCATAACCCTCACACACACCCGCCAACTCCCTAGGCCGGGCCCCCCAGGCCGTCTGACCTTGGCCTCCAGCGTGGTTAGCCGCTCACTCATGTCGCTGAGCCGGGTACAGTTCATGCATTCTGAAAGAGAAGGGTGAACATGGAGTGTAGACCCTGGGGTGAGAGCAGCCAGCCGCCGGGACAGCCTCTGGGCCGGCAGGCGGGAAGCTCTCTGATCAGTCTGCCTGGAAAACTCTTACCCAGCCTTCAGGGCCTTATCCTCAGTGCCCCCTCCTCCAGGCAGCCCACCTGACCTCAGAGCACCCACAGCACATTGTACTGCCCGCTTATTCAGCGAAGTGTCCGAGCCAGCACCCCAGATGCCTGGTCAGCCTGAGTGCCATGAGGGTGGGGTCTTTGTCTATTTTATTTGCCCACAAAGTAGGGGCTCAAAAAAATCCAATAACTGATAAATAGGTGGTAAAGGGGATGGGCTCCCTGCCTTTGAGAACTCAGTCTGGGGAGGGAGATGGGCAAATAGGTACAGGCCGGTAAGGGCTACGCTAGGGCTGGAAGAACAGAATGTGCAAAAGAGCATCATGGGGGAACTGCAATGCCGGTTTGGGGTGGGGGAGGTGGTGATCAGGGAGGACATCCTGGAGGCAGGGGCATCTAAGGGGAGGCCTGAGGGAGGCACAATGATGGCCCGGTGAAGAAAGAGGGCTGAAGTCTGGAGACAAGCAAGAGTGGAGAAGGGTCTGGCAGCAGGCTGGCCGAATCAGAGCAGACCCAGGGACGCCCCCGCATGCCCCCATGCCCAAGGGCGCCCCACATCCCAGACTGGAGTGGTGGGCTGGGGCCTAACACTGGAGGCCTGGCGGGAGGAGCTCTGGGCAGCGTCCTGAGGCCAGTGGGCAGCTGCTGGAGGGGCTGAAAGTCAAGGTAAGATTTGCATTTTTAAAAGCTCACTTGGGCAGCAGTGTGGATGGTGGGTGGGTGTGGGAGGGACGGGCAGCCGGAAGGCCAATTAGGAGACTGGTAACGGTTAACCCCCCAGGCCCACATCTCCCTGGGCTATAATTATCTATTTATGTCTGTCTGCTCCAGGGACTGGAGCTGTTTAAAGAGGAAATAGATGGTTCAAAGCTGTTCTCAAGAGCTTTTATTGCTCCAGAATTCAAGGGATGCCTAAATCTCTCACTCAGTTCACAGCCTGACTGACCTTCCAGGGACCTCATTCTGGGCCATACAGACACACTGAGGTATGAGGGTAGCTCAGTAGGTCCCACCTGGTGTGCTGGGGCTGACCATCAGAGGCCCTGTGGCCGTGTTGAGGCCTGAAGCTCACCAACGGTGTCCATACCTGCCCCCACATCGGCCTCCCCTGTCCTCAGAGAGGTCCCCCAACTTCATCTCGGAAAGCAAATCCCCTCATTAACGTCCCTGGGTTACAGTGGTGATTGCTCTGTGAGACACATGGGGGACGGCCAGGAGTCTTAGGACCAGGGTTCAGGCTGTGTCCTCCCCGGGGGTGCCCGGCCTCAGGGCAAGGGGGGCTGAGCTGGGGTCGTCTGCTCACCAGCCCTAGTTGGGTTTACAAGACGTGCGCCGGCAGAGGTCCCGCTCACCCTCACCTCCCTCCCCGGCTCCCCTGGGCTGGGCCCAGTCAGTGGTTTATAAGCATTTTTTAAGAACAGAACCCTTTTTCCCCCTCAATAAAACCTTGTCCATAACCCCGAAACATAAAACAGATTAGAGACTGAGGTATAAACACTGAAGCTTCCAAACAACTAGAAGAATGTATACAGTTTCGTGACGGAAGGGGAAAGACTTCACAAAGGACCAGGGAGAGAGAGGGGGCGGGTTTTCTGCTTAAATGTGTGTGGGGGGTTGCTGAACCCACATGTTTCTTCTTCCTTTCTCCCAGGAAAGGGTGGTGGAGAAGGAAAAAGGGATAAAAATCCACAAAGCAAAGAGAAGGGCAGAGGAGAATTCTCAGCGGATGAGGCCAATAACGCAGCCAGGGGCCTGGGCCCACCTGGAAAGAGGACATCAGAGCCTCCAGACTCCCCTGAGGCCGGGACAGCACCAGGCAGGAGAGGTGAGGGGTCCTCTCTGGGACAGGGACACGCCTGAGGGGAAAGGCCCACAGGTGCTGAGAGAAACGGTGGGGTCTCCCAAGGCCCTCAGTCAACAAGGCCAAACCATAGACACATCCCTCTTAAAAACAGACAGCTCAGGATTCCTGAGCCTTAAAAGAAGTCTTTAATGGAAAGACAGAGATCAAAACAAATGCGGTCCCACTCATCTACCCACTACCCCAACCCCATCTATCTACGTACCCTCCACTCATCCCCCCCACCGCCTACGTTACCCCCGACGCCACCCCCTCCCCCTCCCTCCACCCCCGCACCTCCCCAACCATGCTCAGGAGCCCCTTGGCGACCCTGTGCTCATACCGATGAGGTGGGTGGCAGGGCATTATGAATGAGGGTGCCTGTCCTCAGAGCGAAGGCCCACGGACCTTCCCCTCCTCTTGAGGAGGACTGGCCTGGAGGACTGTGAGAAGGGACTTTTCTGCCTGAGCCCCCGGCCCCCTCGGTGACCAGGAGGGCACCACCCCACCCTGGGGGCGGCAGGATGAGCACGAGGCAGGACGGATGTGGGTGAGCTGAGAACTAGAGCCCCATTCTGACCCAGTGAACATTCCTGAGGCATTTAGGGGCCGTGAACAGAGCATTTCCAGGGTCTGAGGCCACAGACAGGACTCTCTGCAGGAGGGGAAGTTCTGTGGAGGGAGGGGTGAGCCTCGGGCTCTCGCAGGAACCTATTTCTGGAAAGTGTGCTGGGCCTGGGCCCAGTTTACTCTGGCACTGGGCACGCCTCTTGGCCGGCGGGCACGGCGGGGCGGGGAGGGGTTCCGGTTCCATAGCCACAGAGAGGCCAGGAAGGTGCAGCCAGCGGGCAGGGGTGAGGCTGCCAGCCCGGCCTCCCCGTGCCACCTGCCTGGGCAGGCGCTGAGACCAGCCGGGTTGTACGGTTCCCCTGGCATTCTGTCATCGACAAGCAATTATATTATGTTTGTTTAAATTTTTCTAACGATTCATGGGAGTGGTGGGGACAGAGAAATGGCACCGAGCATGCTGACTGGCGTGCTGAGCGGCCCAAGCAGTTCCCCCTTGCTAAGATGAAGACTCTCACTTCCCGAGACTCGGAGGGTTCCCACAATCCCAGCCCCCTCGTAGCACACACAGGCCCACGAGTGCCCAGGGCCACAGCACGTTCCTGGTGTCTAGGATGCAGGAAATTGTGCCTGGAACTCTTTGCCAATATTGTGTATCGAAGTGTGGATGTGCCAGGCAAACCAGCGCGTGGGGGGGTGGGGGGGTGAGAGAGAGAGAGAGAGAGAGAGAAGGACTCACTGCTTGGTGCTATTAGTAGAAAGAGAACTATAAGGCCACTAACTCACTGTGAGGCTGGAGAGGGCCTCATCTGACCTCTCTGCCCCTCAGTTTTCTCATCTGTAAAAGGGGACTATATTGGATCAGCTCCAAGGGCCTCAGGATCCTGGTCCCCGTGCCCTCGCCCTCCGGCTCTCACCGCTGGGCTCTGTCCACCCACTGCCAGATGGTGCACCTGCTAATCCACCGGCCATCTGCCCTCAGCCAGCACAGCTACCACTGATGGTTCTGCATCCAGAATTCAGGACCCAGCTCCCGAGTGAGGCGACTCCCCAGGCCTGGGCCCGAAGGGGAGCCTTGCCGACTGCAGAGAATTCAAGAGGCCAAGTGAGACCACTGTAAGGCTGGGGCCACAAGACCCTGACAGAGGGGAGCGAGGGCACACAGGTGGCCCTGCCCCCAGACACCCAGCCCCCTCTGTGAGAGGTCTCAGAGATGGGTCCACAAGCAGGGAGCACGTGGAGGCTGGATGTCACCAGGAGGCCAAGCTGGAAGAGATCCCTAAAATCCCCCTGGAGACCTTTGACTCCAGCCCAAACTCCTAAGCCCTGTTAGGAGAGCTCCAGGGAGGTCAGTGGGGTCAGATGTTGGGGGAGCAGGGGGCGGGGCTGGCCAGGTGTGTTCACAGGAGACCACAGGAACAAGGAGGTCCTAAGTGGCCTCAGTTTCCCCAGTGTGACAAGAGCTGGGCTGGGCCTAGCACAGATAGGACTGGTACCTTTCTATCTTACTACACATGGGGTCAGCCCTGCTCCACCTGAGTTTAGTCTTGGGCCACACATTCTTTTGATGCCTCCCTCCTCCCCACTGGGGCCTTGAAGGCCATGTAGGACCTTCCTCTACTGGTGAGACCTTGGTCATCTCACTCTCTGCTGGAAACTGTTGTCAGGGGGGAAAAGTGCTTGTCCTGAGTAGGCCTAGATGTCTTTTGCCTTCTCACTCACACCATACCGGCCAGCCAGGCCACACCCCTCCGGTCAGACCACGCCCATCTGGCTAGGTCACAGCCCCTCCAGCCAAAGAGAGACCTGGATGTACAGTGACTTTGGGACCAGTGCTAACTCCTGCACGGAAACCTATGAGAAGATGGGTCTGCCCGCCCGTGGGGTTCAGCTCCCAGTGTCTATTAGAGCCTCTAATGCAAAAGACAAAGACCGAAACAACAAACAGGAAAAAAGTAAGCTCAGAAAACAGACGATGAGTGGACAGAAAAAGACTTCAAAAAAGCAAAGCCAAACCCTAATATCCTTAGAGAGATATGAGAAGATACTGCATCCTGAAACAACAGGAGGTTATTTACAAAGAACCTTCAAATCACAAAAATGCGTTTGTAGAAATGGAAGAAAAATAGCCAATGTAAAATATTCAGTAAAAGGATTAGAAGATATGGAAATTTTCTAGAAAACTGCAAAAAGGGGGCTCTGACAGCTGGAGAGAAGAGATAAGAAAATTAGGGGATCGGGGTGCCTGGGTGGCTCAGTTGGTTAAGCAACTGCCTTCAGCTCAGGTCATAATCCTGGAGTCTCAGGATCAAGTCCCGCATGGGGCTCCCTGCTCAGCAGGGAGTCTGCTTCTCCCTCTGACCCTCCCACCTCTCATGTGCTCTCTCTCTTTCTCATTCTCTGTTTCTCAAATAAATAAATAAAATCTTAAAAAAAAAAAAAAAAGAAAGAAAATTAG